TTCATTTGGTAAAATTATATTGTTATATTTATATGTTACTTTGACATTACAAACAGACACTTCAATTTTATTTATTTGTATAGATTAGAATTATTTATTTATTATGTCGTGGTCAGATCGTTTAACTAATTTTGTCATAAATAAGTCGATTATTTAGTAAAATGGTGTCACTTTATAAAATTTAACACTATTTGTTGACCATATTATGGTATGACTTGATCAACGATCGTTTGACGATATTAACAACTAAACACGACATTGTTATTTCATGCTATGGTCATATCCTACTAATCATACTTCCTTCCTACTAATATTATAAACGCGAAAGTTTGTGAGGATGTATGGATGTTTGTTACTCTTTTAAGCAAAAACTTAATTCATAAAGACACTGTGTAAATTGGCCAAAATATAACAATAAGTTAGCTAAGTCGAAAAAAATCTGTCATATGCGAACTATGTAAAAACTGTAATAGTTACACGAATATAATGTGTGGTTTAATTATTTCTTCTAAGCAGTTCTACAAAAAAGTCCGCGATAGTAGATATATATCTATCTTCTATGTGTAAAACATTATTAACAAAATAGTGAACCATAAATGCAATAAAATTTGATTATTTATTTTAATAGATTTTTATCAAAAAAAAAAGTGTGTGTGTGTAGGTAATTATGTACCCACGTAGGAAGTTATACTTATTTAGCGTAACAAAACAAAAAAACTTGAGAGACATTTACCCACTGAAGTTATCGCTTTGAGGTGTCAGTGTGCGCGCGCATCGTAACAACTTCTTGGTATCGTTTTTATCTGTCGGAGTGCGCGCGCATCGTTTAAAAAATCACTCTCATCCTTTTTTCCGAGTACCCCAAAAAAAGATAACTTCACTTCACTTCGCTTCTGATATTCAAAGTAGATAAACTTTATACGTGGTAGAGCCATGCTGCAGCTATATTTCTGGTATAGTTGTAACACGAATGGGTCGGCTCGACCGGGGTAGGACCACGCTCTCACAGAATACCATGTAAAATAGCAGTTTGACCCTGCCGTTTTTCGTATAGTGAGTGTAGAGAACCGGAGAAACTTTTTACTAGAAACGAGGCATTACATCTTAGTCCTCACGGGTGACAACGCATCTACATTTTGATACGTAATCGAGAATAGATGTAGATGTCTATGAGTCGTAGCAACCACTTACCATCAGGTGGACTGTGTGCTCGTTTGTCATCCTTATTCTATTAAAAAACTTTGTCTTTTAAACTACAGGATATCATACCTAAAGAGGGTGATGGAATTTACTATGAACGTGTGGTTATTGATGGATCACCTATGGTTTAAAGTATAATATCTACGCGCACGAAGTCGCAGGCAAAAGCTAGTAGTAAAGTAATTTTATTATTTACCACCGATGCCAATGATAGCGCATTTATCAGAAACAGAATCTTTAACTGAATCCACATTACTCATAATAATAACAATAATGTTTATTTCAGATATACATATCCATACATAACATAAACACTCACACCTGTCACCCAGAGGGGTAGGCAGAGACTATGGACATCCATTTGGCACTATATTTATATACCTACGCATACACGCTCGTCGGTTAAAGGTACTCTTGATTTGGCCCATTTTCAATATATCGCCAATTTGGTCGATAAACTTTCGCCTAGGGCGTCCCTTCCCGACTCTGCCGTTCACCTCTGTAACATAAATTTGTTTTGTCACTCTTTCCTCATTCATTCTTTCTACATGGCCAAACTACCGAAGCATTCTCTTCTTAATCCTGGTCACAACATCATATTGCAAACTACACTCTTCTCTTATCACACAATTTCTCACTCTGTCATTCAGATCAAAAATAAAATAAATATCCATACTAAAATCTATCTTTTTTGTTTTGGGGTTTAGTTTTTGGATATATTATTTATGGAAATTGTTAAAATTATTATTTGTTGGTTTTCGTTTTCATTTTTATAAGACCCTTTTTTACTATTTATTCATATATAAAGTTACAACCTATATACCTAGTCAGGTCATAAGTATTGTCACACAGTAAAAACTGTTCTTTTAGAATGCTGGCCACAAAAAAGTTTATTGAATTCGAATTTCGAATTGTTCATGAAAATAAAACTGTATACTTTTTAGAATTTTACTCATTTTTAAATATAGAGTGGACGCTTAAAGAAGACCGTGTTGCAGTTATTGCGTTGCATCGTTGCGGTTACGCGCCAATTAAAATTTTTGACATACTGAAAAATTTGAATATAACCAAAAGATTCGTTTATCGTACCATCAAACGATACAATGAAGACTAGGTCTGTTAGGACTCCAGCAGTGATAAAAGCTGTGAAGGCGCGAATTCAAAGAAATCCCAAACGTAAGCAGAAACTGTTGGCCCTTCAGATGGGGTTAAGCAGAACCACGGTGAAAAGGGTGTTAAATGAAGACTTAAGGCTTCGGGCATATCGAAGAAAAACAGGACATCGTTTGAATGCTCGTCTAATGGACCTGAGACTGAAGAGATACCGCGCTTTGTTGAAGCGGTACACGGGAAAAAAATATCGGGAAATTCTTTTTTCGGATGAAAAAATTTTTACCGTAGAAGAGAGCTACAACAAACAAAATGATAAGGTACGCACACAGTAGTGAAGAAGCGAGCAACCGTATTCCGCTTGTCCAACGAGGTCATTTTCCATCCTCGCTCATGGTATGGTTGGGAATTTCTTATTGGGGCTTAACAGAGGTAAATTTTTGTGAGAAAGGTGTAAAAACGAATGCAGTTGTGTATCAAAATACAGTCCTGACGAACCTTGTGGAACCTGTTTCTCACACCATGTTCAATAATAGGCACTGGGTATTCCAACAAGATTCGGCGCCAGCTCATAGAGCGAAGAGCACACAAGACTGGCTGGCGGCGCGTGAAATCGACTTCATCCGGCACGAACACTGGCCCTCCTCCAGTCCAGATTTGAATCCGTTAGATTACAAGATATGGCAACACTTGTAGCAAAAGGCGTGCTCAAAGCCTCATCTCAGTTTGGAGTTACTCAAGACATCCTTGATTAAGGCAGCCGCCGATATTGACATCGACCTCGTTCGTGCTGCGATAGACGACTGGCCGCGCAGATTGAAGGCCTGTATTCAAAATCACGGAGGTCATTTTGAATAAACTTTAGTGTCATAAGAATCTATGTTTTGTTAAGTTCATTTTGGTATATAAATGGTTACATAATAAATAAACTTGTTTCAATTATTTTATATTAAACATGTGACAGAATTTATGACCTGACTAGGTATAATTCCACTCCCTCTCATATGCATTCAGAATAAATTATTATTGAAATACTATAAATAATAACATAGTATCGATCTTCTTTTATCTATTTTTTTCCGAATAGGATCTATTATTTTATGAAAAGGTATAATTAAAAATACGTACATAAAATTCTTGATGACAGTTCAAAGGGACTAATTAGTTCATTTGAACACAATTTATAGGTATACCTGTAGAAAATTTCAAGAAAGATCAGTAAAACATAGAGCATTTTGTCCGTATTTTCTTCAGTCTTAGGCATATGCGTTACTTGAGTTTACTATGCCTGCTTAACGAAAAGCCATCGCTTAGCTGTCATAAGCTGTAATAAAATTTGGTTAGCCATAAAAAAACAGCATTTAAATCATCTGGTTAGCATTCAAAGATTGTGTTTGCAATAAAAAAAAAACTTTCAGCAATTCCTGTTTCGCAAATAATCTTGATAATGTTCAGTAATTTAATCATAAATAGGCAGCTTACATTAATATGAGTTTGCCTAATAAACAGTCAATCCGCAAAATAACTACTTGATGAGCGTGATTCACGATTGGTTAGCAAAGAAAATACCTATTACTAAACATCGTTTGTTCGATCGCTATTGATGATTATTCGATCATAAATACAACTTAGTTGTTAATAATTGCGAGCGATCCATAAAAGCGAGCGAAGCAAGCTCGGGACTTGGGGCACCCCGACTCGGACAGGTTAGGGCAGAAGGGGATGGCGGCGTCAAGTGAGAGAGCAAAGTTTGCTGATCAATTATCTATTTATGCTGCTAAATAACATACAATAACTCTGCTGACAAAAACATGAATATATATTTAATAACACCCATAATATATGAATTGTAGCTATTACAGGTAATAGGTGACTCGATTTTCTACTACAACTACCTCTGTTTAAACATTATTTACTGACTTTTTGTAGAGAATGTGTCGGATCGTGCATCATCAGGTCGTTGACAATTACAACTGTAATTAAGATCAGCTTAATGTCAAGGAGGTCTCACGACCGCCAGCCAATCGACAGTGGTTTTTGGTATAATTGCAACTAAGTGACATTTAATACGCAAAGTTCTTTATATAGGTATCTTAATTAATTGTCGGAACTAAGTAAGTGTCGCAAATATGAGTCTCTGAGAGATGAATACATATTTGTGCCATTTGCTGTAGAGACTATCGGTCCGTGGGGTCCACGTGTGGTGATGTTCCTAAAGGAACTCTATCCGCGACTGGTCGTTGCTGCTGGTGATAAGAGGGCTGGTTCTTTTCTCGCTCAAAGGCTAACTACAGCCATTCAGCGACGAAAGGCAGCCAGCGTTCTTTAACGATACCACGGGGAGTAAGACTGTATAACAAATAAGTTTTTAGCTTTATTTTATCTTTGTTATAGTTTTTTTAATGTTGTATTAATTAATAAATTATTAAATATTTAAAACATCAATTATTATTTTTAGTAAACAGACAAAAATTAAATTATCTGTTATTGTAGAACTTTTCATCCAATTTAAATGCGGAGTGTGTAATTATAGCATCCGACACTTGTTATGACAATATATGTACAAAGAGAACGATAATTGTTAGGTGTGAAGACGTGAATAAAGTCATTCGTTATGTGAATATCTTATTGTAGCAGACGTGTATTAAACACGATTAAAGATAGTGCATCCGTTTATCCATTTTAAAATAATGGAAAAAAAACTATCCTACTATAGTTTGGAGCCCCACTTGCGCAATGTTCGTTATGGTGGATATTTCCAAATAGATCCAAACTCGCCATCAATGTCAAAATGGTTGCATAAGGTATACATGCGTATTATTTTATTCCTGACGCTTGGTTTTACATCACAACAAATTCTAAAAGTGTATGAAGTAAGTGGTGAATAAATAATTTCAACGTTGAATTTCTACAGAATCAATTCATTTTATTATTTTTATTATATTTCGTAGGTTCGGGATGACTTAGATACTGTTATGGCCACGATGTTCTTGTTACTGACGCACTTTGATTCTATATACAAAGAAGTTGTAATGATGGTAAAAGCGGATCAAGTTCAAGAACTTTTGGAAATAATGAAAGGTACAAAAAAAAAAGTATAAATTCCGTAGAAATACATGTTGCCCGGAATTATATTTTGTCATATTATATACATTGTAAAAATGTAAAGTAAGCCAGCTTGGCTCCTTCTTTCCTAAATGTGTCACTGAAATACACAGAAAGTCTTCATCTGCTGGAAATTGGGACGGTTCATTAAGTCCTAGGCCAAAGCAGCTGCAAATAAGTTAAGAGTCCTTGCAATAGTGCGGCGGTATTTCACTCCGGAACAGCTGCTTATAGGGCGTAAGTGCGGTCGTGCATGAAGTATTCATCATTATCATCATTACAGCCTTTCATAAGTCCACTGCTGAACATATGCCTCCCCCAAGGAATGCCACAAAGCACGGTCCTGAGCCACCTGCATCCATCGACTTCTTGCATGTCTTACCAGGTCGTCACTCCATCTCGTGTGGGGTCGCCCTACACTTCGCCTACCGGTACGAGGCTGCCACTCAAGAAACTTTCTTCCCCATCGGTTGTCGGTTCTTCGAGCTATATGGCCGGCCCACTGCCACTTCAGCTTACTAATCCGTTGGGCTATGTCGGTTACTCTGGTTCTACTGCGGATATACTAATTTCTAAGTTTATCACGCAGATAAACCCCGAGCATAGCCCTCTCCATAGCTCGCTGAGTGACCTTGAGCTTCCTCATACGGCCAGCAGTGAAGGACCACGTCTCAGATCCGTAAGTCATCACTGGCAACACGCACTGGTTGTACAATTTCATTTTAAGGTTTTGAGGTATGTCTGACGAGAAGATGTGTCGTAGTTTCCCGAACGCTGCCCAGCCGAGTTGAATCCGTCGATTGACCTCTCGGTCGAAGTTGGGCTTACCTAGTCGGACTATTTGTCCCAGGTAAACATACTCGTCAACAACTTCGAGCTTAGTGCTCCCAACAACTACCGGCATAGGTGTCATTGAGCATGGTGCTTAGGTCCTCCAGCGATTCTGCCATAAGGACTATATCGTCGGCATGAAGTATTGCTATCATATAAAGGCTGGTGCTGCAAAATGCCACGTAACAGCCTTGAAATCAATGAAAAAGCAAGCTATGAGGCTTATTGGTGACGTGAATCTTGTTAAAACCAATCTTACCAATCTCAAACAGGCGCAAATTACCTAGCCTCTCGGTTTTCTGTAGGATACATTTAGAGGAGAGTGCGCAGGAATTCCGTAACTTAAATCCTACCTCTCACTTTGTAATAATAGGATTCTGTTAAGTCAATACGCTTTTCTATCTTTGGCTGCATCTCAATTTACCATTAGGTGGAATATTAGTTTCTAGCACTGACTTATAATAATTCTCGAATCGAGCAGTCGTGCCTATTAGCAATTATACAAGTGTTAAATATTTTCAATAAAATTGTGACCCAGATAAGCCATTGGACTGTTTCTGCTAAGTTGTAATTTTACAGTAGTGAATAACAAATTATAATGAAAACCATTTGAGGGAAATCATGTCTAATATATACGAAAATAGCCCTTTCAACCGGAGCATGATTACACCTTGGAGTCCGCCCAGCACGCCTCAACCACCTCACCATGATGCTGCAGACCCAATTGAATTTTTAGCCACCAGTGAAATTAAAAATTGGATGACCTCAATCGAACAGTGCCTTAATGAAGTTTGCCATATTGCCCAGGACGGAAAACTAAATCTGAAAAAAAGCTAAGAATAAATTTCCTATCGCGACAGGTCGGTAATGCAGCCTCTCAGATGGTAGTATTCCACCAATCGTTGAAGCAAAAGGCTATTTTAATCCACACGTCTCTTGAAGCACTCAGAGAAAAACAAGACCTAACTCCATTAGGTCTTGTTTTTCTCTGAGTGCTTCAACCTTACCTTAATGATATCGGAAAATCTGTAATGGAACCTATTCAAGAAAGCTGCGCCAAACCACTGTTAGTGTAAATGTCCTGTGCTGATATGGTCAAAACAAACAAAAATAATTACTTGCGCCCCAAAACATTTAGATCCATTGCAATTTTTTAATTTTTAATTTGTAAGAAGACTACGTAAAACTCAAAATGGAGGCGTTATTATCAGCACTGAAACAAAAGACGACATTGTAACTAAAAAAAAATTACCCAGCTTAGTAGCTTTAGGTCTAAAGCTTTAAGAGCATCATAAAAGAAGACCACAGATCATAGTATTTGGTGTACCTGCCACCTTTAGCGAACGAGAAGTGTTTGATTACATTTATGAACAAAATTTAGCCGATAAGCTCCCTAACTTAACGCGGGAATCCTTTTTGTCTGCTATAAAGTTAAGTACCGGTAGGCGAAGTGTAGGGCGTCCCCCCACGAGATGGAGTGACGACCTGGTAAGACATGCAGGAAGTCGATGGATGCAGGTGGCTCAGGACCGTGTTTTGTGGCATTCTTTGGGGGAGGCCTATGTTCAGCAGTGGACTTGTGAAGGGCTGTAATGATGATGATGATGAAAGTTAAGTCATAAATCGGGTAAAAACGAAGCACTTTCATGCAACTTTATTTTGGTAGTACCAGTTGGCATCAGAAAGGCGCTTATAAATCAGGAGCAAGTCTTCATAAATTCTGTCGTCGTGCCCTGTTCAAGACTTCACACTTGTGACCAGGTGCTTCAAATGTCAACAGTACGGACATGCTGCATGAACTTGCCGGGAAACCATCGATACGTGTGGTGAATTAGGTGAAATTGACATGTGCAAGGAATATCTCTTCAAGGCCGCGAACTCGCTTACTATTTTAACACAAAATATTCATAGTAAAAATAAAAACATAGACAATTTCTATATACTTCTTCGAGGAGTGGATACTGAATGCGGCGTTATCATACTAACAGAATGCTGACTATCTAAAAGCCAAAACAAATTGCCATCACTGCCAGAATACAATACTTTTAGTAGTAAAACTGTATATAACCAAAATAACGGTGTGGTAGTCTTTGCGAAAAAAATATAAATTATATCAGTCGAAGAACCTGATATACTGGATTGTAGTAGGTTTTTGGTGAAAGTGGGCCATGAAACTGCTATCCTTGCTGTTTACAGACCTTGTGGTTTTAAACAAATAGACAATCATATTACGTCATTAGACAATACACTTAGGCAACTGTCGCCATTCAAATTTTTTTTTTATAGAAGAGGGGGTAAACGAGCATGCGGCTCACCTGATGGTAAGTGACTACTGCCGCCCATGAACAACCGCAACACTAGGGGAATCGCAGATGCGTTGGCGGCCTTTTAGAAAGGTGTAAGCTCTTTTATTGAATGTTCCTAAGTCGTATCGGTCTGCAAAATTCGTTGGTGGTAATTGATTCCACAGGGAAGTTGTGCGAGGGAGAAAACTTCTTCTAAATCGCACAGTGGTGGACCGCCAATCATCCAGATGGTATGGATGGTAACGCGAGTTTTGTTGCGATGTGCGATGGTGAAATTGAGCAGCTGGAATTAGTCCGAACAATTCCTCAGAGCACTCCCCGTGATCGATGCGATAAAATACGCAAAGAGATGCAACATATCTACGCAGTACCAGTGTATCGAGCCGATTAGAAAGAACTCGGTCGTCGATGCCTCTTTCGAACCGCTCTGCGCTGGATGCGGTCAAGTGGAAGGAGCTGGCACTGGGGTGCCCCGGGCCAGAGATGAGAACAGTATTCCATGTGGGGCCGAACTTGCGCTTTGTAAAGTTGCAAGCGATGTGCCGGCATGAAATACTGTCTCGCTCTGCTGAGCACGCCAAGCTTTTTAGAGGCCAATTTGGCCTTCCCTTCCAAGTGACCACGAAACTGCACACTATTCGATATGTCGACGCGGAGTATTCCGATACTAGCTGAGGCAACAAGGGGAGTGTCTTGAAACTGAGGAGATACGACAAAGGGGTTCTTTTTAGCGGTAAACGCGCAAACTTGTATCTTCTGGGGATTGAACTGGACTAGATTTAGTCGCCCCCAACCCGAGACTTTGTTAAGCAAAGACTCGACTTCAGACACAAGTTTGTCCCGGTACTCGGCGACGTTTTCCCGAGAAATATTGGCACTGCCGGCATATAAGGCATCACCAGTGCTGTCGTCCGCATAGCAATGAATGCTACTAGTTAGCAACATATCATTGATATGTAGGAGAAACAGCGTTGGTGATAGCAAGTAGCCTTGTGGAACACCAGCGTTGATAGGCTTGAAATCAGAGCATGCACCGTCTACTACGACCTTGATGCTCCGATCAGCAAGGAAACTGGTGATCCATTGCACAATTTCTCGGGAAGCCCATGGGAAGGGAGGGAGCTTCGAAAGAAGCGCTTTGTGCCAAACCCGATCGAAGGCCTTCGCAATATCCAAACTAACGGCCAACGCCACCCCCTTGGACTCTACTGCCTCCGCGCATCTGAGTCAGATAGACTAGAAAATCACCAGCTGATCGACCCCGACGTAAACCGTACTGGCGGTCACTAATCAGCTAGTGATCCTCAAGGTACCTCATGAGCTGGCAGTTTATAATGGATTCCATTATTTTGGAGAACAAGGAGGTGATAGCGATAGGCCTGTAGTTGGACGGGTCTGAGCGGTCGCCTTTTTTAGGGATCGGGCGTACCAAAGATGTCTTACATGAATTCGGGACTACGCCTTGGGAGTAGGAGTACCGGAAAAGACGCGTTAAAACCGGTGCCAACTTCGGAACACACGTTTTCAGCACAATGGGAGGGACTCCATCGGGCCCACTCGACTTGCTGACATCCAGGGAGAAGAGTGCTTTGCGAACCGAGCGCTGTGTAAACCGCACAGCCGGCATGGAGCACTCACATCGCGGGATGGTCGGCGGTGTGTTCACCCGTCATCTAGAGTCGAGTTGGACGCAAAGAGAGAGCTCAACAGATCGGCTTTCTCCTTTGCGGCATAGGCCAGTGAGTCGTCCTCTCTGTGCAGAGATGGAAGAGATGGCTGACAGAAGTTAACTTGGACAGACTTGGCGAGAGACGAGAATGCACGGGTTCCCGAAGGAAGGCAAACAAGCTTCTCGTCAATTCTGCCGATGTGCTCAGACCTTACCTTGGCAATGACGCTTTTGAAGGACCTGGAGGCGGAATTATAATTCTTTTTAAGTGCGCTGGTGTTTACATCCCGAGACATTGATGCGTCAGCCCAGGCCCGGTAGCACTCCTGTTTATAGCGTGATGCTATTTTACAGGAGCGACCAAACAATGGCTGGGATCTGCCTCCGATGGGCACCACAGAAGATGGAATAAAAAGTTCCATACCCTGAAGTACCACATCAGCAACAGAATTGGCAACAACGCTGGGATCATCCGGCGAGAAGCAAACCCGCTCCCAAGGATAGGATGCAAAAAAAGACCGCATCCCGTCCCAATCAGCTGACCTATAGTGCCAAACACGGCGGCAAGCTGCAGATCGCAACTGCGATTGGAGCGTAAGTGGCACCGTACTCCGGATCAGACAATGGTCCGAAGAGCCCAGAGGGGCATCGACGGAGACCTGATATCCGTCCGGATGAGAGGTCAGCAGAAGGTCCAACAGGGAAGGTACATGTTCTTCCACATCTGGGATCCGCGTAGGCGAAGTAACCAGTTGTGTTAGACCATATGCCAAAGCAAAGCCATAGACAGATCTACCCGCATGATCGGTTAAACGAGAACCAAGCCATTCAGCGTGGTGGGCGTTAAAATCACCGAGTATCACGATCTCTGCGGATGGGACCTGTTGTAGCACGGAGTCTGCAGCCATTTGGATGTGGTCGATGAGTCGCTCTGTGTTGGCATTACCGCTATGGGACCTATTGAGGCACCCGTAGATGCGGGGATGATCGTCGCTGTCTACGCGCAGCCATAGGATGGACAGGTCCGTACCTTCAAGACTGCCGAGGCGTTGAAAACAGATGTCCTCTCTGACGTATACGCAAACTCCAGCCTGGGGCACAAAGGAGTGTTCCAATTTGTACCCCGGGTAGGAGAGATAGGAAGTATCAGCCGGAGAGTCTTGGTTAAAAAGAGCAAGGCCGGCTTCGCCTCTCTAGATGGTAATAGACAGCGTTAAGGTTGGAATGAAGTCCCCTGATGTTACAAAAATTCACGGATAGCGTGACAGGGGTCGCCTTGGTTGTATTGCTCCGCTTGCCCTGAGCAGCATTAGTCGCTAGCGGAATTTCTCTCTCTAGAACTCTCCAGGGGTGCTGGTACCCTCCACGGGTAGTCCTTTATTTAATTCCACTACCATTTTGATGGGGGGGAGGGGGAATTGGGCCTCCGGCCACCTGCACTCACCAAGCGCAACGCAGAGGTAAACCTCTACTTCACGCTGGTATTCTGTGACGTCGTGGTACCACCCCGGTTCGAGCTGGCCCATCCATGCGACAGCAAATGCTACCGCTTGGCTCTACCACTGGCAATATAGTGTTAATGAGTGATATGAATACAGATCTCAACCCAGAAGGCAGTCATAGCGGAAAAAAAGATTACCTTAATATCTGTGCATGCCAAGGCCCGCTTCCAGCACATTTGCTCCCTACTCATCTAAGTTGTTCCTGGTTTACACGTTTTAACTAATATGAAAAACCGAACATGCAAGTCAAAACATTGACTTTAGCCCAGATTAGACCCGGTCCAATTAGGTGCATGAAACATAGGGACAAACAACACCTGATGGAAAAATCTTCTTCAGATAATTCCGTCTTACAAATTTCATATAAAAGATATAGGAATTTTTCTAACAATATATTAAAAAGTTGATGTATAATTATCTTACATACTCACTGGAAGTGTCTGATAGAGATAATATGAGTAAAAAGATATGGCGGCATGTAAAATCATTTATATCCAAACAGCATGAATCTTCAGCAGAATTATTACAAAATATATCCTCGCCGCTTATATCAGCAAATAAAACAAAGAATTACTTTGTGAACGTCGGTAAAATCTTGCTGAACAGATAATTAACAATTCTTACAATAATCATGAATACAGGGCTACTTTTTCAACTCAAAGAAACTGCCAATTAAGCTCGTTCGCATTATTAAATACGGACGCGTCCTGAGGTAGAAAGTACGAGTATTATAATGGGACTGAAAGAAACAAGTGCGGTTGGTTGGAATGGCATACCCACCAATAACTCATATTTTTCGAATATGCTTTTCATGAAGGAATTTTCCCAGATTGTAAAAAAAAAGCCATTGTAGTTCCAGTATATAAATCGGGGGACAAATAAAACGTTTCCAATTATCGGCCTATCTCAAAATTCTCATCTACGTCTTAAATATTAGAAAAATTAATTAACAATAGATTAATGAATTATTTACAAAGTAAATCCATATTATCTAATATGCAATATCGTTTCAGACCAAAACTGTCCACTGCTGATGATGTGCAGGTAATGACTGATTACGTTTCTCAACAATTAGATAAAGGCAACCAATCAGTTGGCATTTTCCTTGACCTAGCAAAAGCTTTTGATACAGTTTCTATTCCCATTCTATAAAATAAGCTAGAGAGCATAGGTATTCGAGGTAAACAGCTTCTACTTTTTGCTAACTGTTTAGAAAATTGATATCAATGCATAAAAATCGAAAAGGTTATTAGCTCTGAACAAAAAATACTCATTTTGGCGTGCCTCAAGGAAGTGTATTAGAGTCAACCTTATTTTTGATATATATAAAGGTAATATAATTAAAAATAATTATTCGTAAAAATAATTAATTAATTCTATGCCCAGCTCAACACAGCATTTAACCATTCCAGAAATTTATGCACATAAATCTAATTGTAACTGTATAGATTCTACTCTTACATTTAAAAACCACATAGACGACCTCTGCAATAGAGTCCGTAAAATAATGATTGTTTTTAAAAAGATTCGTTCTTTTGCTGATATTAAGGTAGTAAAGCAAGTATATTTTACATTATGTCAATCAATTCTCACCTATTGTATAACCTCATGGGGAGGAGCAGCTAAATCTACACTGCTACCACTGGAACGCGCTCAAAGAGCTGTATTAAAAGTAGCAACATTTCGCTCTGTCCTATTCACGTCCCATCTCTTACATAAATCCTACAATATCCTCTCAGTGCGCCAGTTATTCGTTATGAGTACGTTACTAAATTGCACTACAGAAGAGAGGTCGCTGATAAAGACGCAAAGATAAAGTCATTGGAACTAACATTAGAATGAGGCATTTTTCATACATAGATTTTTTACATTCCTTGGCCCCTTTGTATATAATCAAATCAATGCAATTTATACATTAAAATGGCAGATTGTAAAAATGTAATTCGGACATGGTTACAAAGTTTGTCATACGATGATACGGAAAAGTTGCTGATTTTTTTTATAGGATAGGGTGACAAACGAGCACACAGTCCACCTGATGGTTAGTGGTTGCTGTGGCCCATAGACATCTACATTTATCCTCGTTTGCGAATCAAAATGCAGATGCGTTATCACCCGTGAGGACTAAGATAGAATGCCTCTTTTCCAGTAAAAAGGGTCTCCGGTTCTCTATACTCACCATACGAAACACAGCAGTGTTAAACTGCTATTTTACGCTGGTATTCTGTGAGAGCGTGGTCCTTCCCCGGTCGAGCCGACCCATTCGTGCTACAACTATACTACTAATATAGCTGCAGCATGGCTCTACCACGTAAAAGATTGATTGTTTTAATTAAAGTCATAAGTAAATTAATGTTAGTATATTTTACCGAAATAACACTAATTAGTATGTTATTCATTTTATATAAGAAACAGAAAATATTTGTAAATGTATCTATTAGCACATACACTTGAGATACAGGTTTATCTTAGTTAAGGTGCCTGTTATTGTAGACTAATTTAAATTAAAACATTGTTTAAATTAATTGTACAGTTTATTGAAATAAATTATTATTATAGTTATAAAACAAAGTTTGTACATAAGAGCTTGAAATTTTACACTAAACGTAAGGACAAAATATTATAAATATAAATAGATAAGACTTGCCAAATTCTAAACTGAAGTTAAGCTCATTTCATAAGTTCTGTGAGAAATATAACAATCTTCCTGAAAAGTTTGAACAGGCACTTGGCAAATATTTTATAAGTTAAAAACTTTTTAATTGTTAATATACCCTTAACGATAGGAACATAACATAACTACAATACTTCTTTATCCACCGTTGGATATGGGCCTATTTTTAAGTGGGGAAACTTTCTCATAATCGCCATGTTTTAAAAGCGGATTGGCAATCGCATTCCCAGATGCGATTCAACTTTAACGGCGCTTCCTGTCGCCTTATATTCAAATTTTAAGAGACCCACAAGACGAAGTGGGTTTCACTAACAATTCACCGTGTGGTCTTCGCCATTATGTTTGTGTCGCCCACAACACGGTTAAATAATAATAAACTTATTTATATATATATATATATATATATATAAAACTTATACATAATAATAATAATAATAATATTAAATATAGTTTCAATAGTGTAACACGAAGATTTTGTTTTTAAGGTCAACTATTTAATCAGCCAGAAGACGAGCACAAAAAGTTACTCCTGCAAACTGCAAGGAAAGCAAAAATGTTATTATATTTATTCAACTGTACAGCTCTTATAACTTGTTTTCTCTGGGTTTTATATCCACTTGTTTTATTCCTGCAAGGGAAGCATGTTGAATTTGCTATATGGCTACCTTTCGATGTTAATGAAAGCCCACAGTAAGTTTAAACAATAAACTTAATATGTAATACATATTATATTAAACAAAATACTTAGAATCGTTACTGACATTTACACAGCTGTGCATAGCTTCAAAATCTCCGATAACCAAAACATTTAGCACCATTTTCCAAATCATCATTAAAGTTCTTACAAAGTCAACTGCTGAACATAGGCCTCTTCCAAGAATTGCCACAAAGCACGATCCTGAGCCACCAGCATCCGTCGACATCCTGCATGTCTTACTAGGTCGTCACTTCATCTAGTGGAGGGCCGTACGAAACTCCCAGTTTCATTCTTCCCCATCGGTTGTCGGTATTCGCCGGTCGGCCCATTACCACTCCAGCTTACTAACCCGTTTTGCTAAGTCGGTAACTCTGGTTCTACTGCGCATATCCTCAATTCTAAGTTTATCACAGAGAAAAACCAAGAAAAGCCGTCTCCATAGTTCGCTCAGCTTCCTCATACGGCCAGCAGTGAAGAACCACGTCTCAGATCCATAAGTAATTACTGGCAACACGCACTGATTGTACAATCTTTTTTAATTCTAAGTTTTGAGGTATACCTGAGGAGAAGATGTGTCCTAATCTCGCGAACGCTGCCTAGCCGAGTTGAATCCGTCCATTGACTTTTAGGTCAAAGTTGGACTAATCTAGTCGGACTTTATGCCCCAGGTAAGCATACTCATCAACAACTTCGATATTAGTGCTCCCAACAACTACCGGCATAGGTGTGACATGGACGTTACACATGATCTTTGTTTTGTCCATGTTCATTTTAAGATCTTTCCGTTGGGAGGCTCTATTGAGGTCATTGAGCATAGTCCTTAGGTCCTCCAGCGATTCTGGCATAAGGACTATATCCTCTGGAAATTGAATGTTAGTGATGTACTCGCCATTGATGTTTATATAGTATCATTTAGAAATGATATATATATAGTCCAGTGGCTTGAAAACGTCTTTCAAGCTTCAAGAGTACGAGGGGGACGGAGAGTTGACTTCATTAAACGTGACCTCTCCAACTTAATGTTTAGGTTTAGTGTGCATCTCACCATTCGGCAATCACTGCCAGTTTTCACTCTCGCGATCACTGAGACATCACTGAACGGTTGCCGTCTAGTCGTCATAATGAAGTCAATCTTATTTTTTGTCGAATCTTTGGGACTCGACCAGGTCTATTTTCCGTAGGGCCGCTTCTGGAAGAAATAGTTCATCATAAAAAATCCCTCTTTCTCCATGGAGTCGGTCAGCTGCTGGTTTCTTGGGTTCCGTTGCACTCTCCCGAATTTATCTACCTTCAGCTCACTGTAAATGTTGCTAAGTTGAGTCGTCTTAGGTGGAAACCAAACCTCTATCGGACTTTTTAGTGACCATTATCGTCATCGTAGACAAGAATAGCGGGACCGCCGGTGACTGTGGGCCGTTTCTATGTGTTGTTGCTCATGGGGGATTTTTGCCATAGTTGTCACGCTTGGCATACAACTTGGTGACCGCAGTTTTTTATTGTAATTTTGCTGTTATTAAAAAGATACTGCTGCCCATCTCCCTTTTAATAGAAGAGGGGGCAAACGAGCACGCAGCTCACCTGATGGTAAGTGTTGACCGCTGCCAATGAACAACTGCAACATCGGGGAAATTGCAGGTGCGTTGCTGGCCTTTTAAAAAGGAATAAGCTCATTCCTCGAAGGTACCTAAGTTGCATCGGTCCGGAAAAATAGACGGTGTAAAACGATTTCACAAAGTAGTCGTGCGAAGAAGAAAACTCCTGGTTAATCGCACAGTAGTAGACCGCCAAACATCCAAATGATGTGGATGGTTGATGAAAAACATGGTGTGGAAAATGAAGAAGATTATTAACATAATACATAAAATATATAATACGATTCAAAAATAAATCACCACGACAAAGCAGACTTTTCCATTAATTCATTTATTACAGCCTATCAAAAGTCCACTGCTAAACATGGCCGCGCCCCAGATAAGGGTATATTAGCCTAAGTTGCCACCCTTCGCAGGATGATTGGCAACTGCAGTTTTACTCTTTGATTTGTTATCAGAAAGATGCCGCTGCCCATCTTCTGTTTCATTACTCTCTGATACATCTTACGAAATCCACGGATGATATTATATAAGTAGATGATTCTCTAACACCTCTACTACACGGCGATGTTACTTTACTAGTACCTACCAAATAATTTTTCTTTCAAGTCAAGCATAAGTACATAATAGTAGCAAAACCTAATCTTAAGAGCAGGCCAATATATACGAGCATTTAAAGGCTATAAAAATTTAATTTAGCAGAAAACCACCTCTAGAGTAATTTATATATATTTTTTAAATTTGATGTTAATTTTGTACCCAGGTTTTTTATCGCGTTACTATATGTTTGGATTCAGACGTCTTGGCTTGCTTTCAATAACACAACCATGGATGTTTTGATCGCGTTTTTCTTAGGACAGTGTACTACGCAATTAAATATTTTAAGGTAAGATGAGTGCTGCGTAGTGCAGATTGAATAATTGAAAGAAATAGTGATGAATGCACTGAAACGTAATCCATTACGCTGTCAAATCCGGGGATCATCAACAAAATCAAGTAATGGAAACGTTAGGAAAATCTAGTGGTAAATTGCGCTAGTTTGGATTTCTGCCTTAAATCACAAGTACTGAATACAGGCCTGTGTAAAAGTATTGGTAAATTCAACGGTATTCTTGAAGTTTGATGATTTTTCTAATCAAATAAACAGGAAGTGATTAGTGAGGAAATATTAAAAAAATCATTGATTCTGATAAGCATATCGGAAATAGCATCAAAAGATTAATTGTTTAAAATAATAACAGTGTGACACCGGATGTTGAACTTGCTCTCCTGAACCAAACTAACGCAACTACGTGATAACACCAAAGTATAGAAACCAACAGCAACACTATCAACCTCATTGTAACACATAGCAGCCTCTCAGCAACACCATCTTTCTTGCCAGAACTAGAAGAATTACTACGACAAACAGAACCATGATAGAGTTATAGTACTTGTAGAATAACTTAGACGAAATCTCTCGCGCATGACGCCTACAGTGAACTTCATACTGCACAAACGAAAGGGAGGTTTCTCGATACAATCTCAATTCTACCACACCATCATCAATATGACACTCCACGAGAGTGATGCAACCTCTGGTTCACTTTCGATCCATCCAGTATTTTATGGACTCGCCGGTAAGGGTCCGGGTTGGAATCTCGGGTCAAGACAAACTCAGTTATTAGGTTTCTCTGTCCAGAAATTGAGTATTTCTTAGTAATTTCGTGGCAATCCGAAGTCAGGAAGATGCCAGTGTTTTACCTCCCTGCCTCAGAAATCAGAAAACACGTAAAGCCGTTGGCCTTGCTTCTGATCCCTCATCAGTTGTGTTGGAATGCTGTTCCATCGGACTATGAGAGTGAAGTAATAGAGAATACACCTGTTCACACACATGTACACTATAATACTATCCTAGGCGGATGTCTAGTGTCCGTTGAGACTGGCCGTAGTGACCGAAATACGGTCTGCCAGAAATTGAGTGCATAGAAAAGAATATTGTAAATTATATTTTTGTTTCAGATATGACTTAGAAAATTTCGTCCAGATGTGTAAAAACAAGTCCAAAGTCTCGGGAGAATCGTATAAAATTGTACTTCATACAAAATTTAAGAAAATTCTATTTCATCATAATGAAATAATCACGTAATGTTTAATTTTTTTCAAACTTTTGTTTAGTCATTGCTTAACTTACCTACTTGACTATTATGGAAAATGGTCAATACGTATGGAATTACCGTTTCATAATACTGGCTAGTTTGAAGTTCATTATCTTGCATTCGGAAAAGAAATTGGTCATTTGTTTTATCGCCGTTTGGAATGAAACTCAAAATACGTAATAACAAAAGAAGTACTTTGTTTAGATCTTTCTAAGGGTGGATTTGAACAAATGAGAGTAAATTTTATTTTTAGAATAAATCTCCATTTATTCGAGACTTTCACTTTTTATTATTAGCTATACTATTTCTCGATGGTTTTATTTTTCACTGAGCAAGTGTTAAATCACCATATTAAATTCGGATAACAAACGAGATTCACCTTGCTTAAAATACTGCGTGACTGTCAAAACTTAGTATTCACACCTCAGCACCTATTTGTTTGTAAAGTAAGCGATACGAATATTTGCATTGTAATATAATCATCGCCACTTGAATTCGAAAACAATTCACTTGATCGCTGAAATAATAATAAGTCATTGATATTTTCTTAATATTTTTAGACATAAAATAAAGTAACAAAAATAAATAAATAAACAAAAGCTAGTATATCGATGTCGATTGTTGTTAACATTGAGGACTAAATCGCTATAGATTAAAGTCATCAAGTGGCTGGAGTTTGCGTATGTGTCAGACAGGGCAGTCTTGAAGAAACGGACCTGTCCATTCCTTGGCTACCCGTAGACAGCGACAATGATTCCATTTCCCCGTCTGTGGGTGCTTTTGTAGGTCCCTATCAACCACAGACAGAGTCATTGCCCGTGCTACATATTCCATCCCCAGAGATCGTGATCCTTGATGATTATAAAGCCTATCACGCTGAATGGCTTGGTTCTCGTTTAATCGATCATGTGACTGACATAACTGGTTACTTCGCCTACTCGGATTCCAGATATAGAGGATCTTCTCTGTAGTAAGTTGTGGTGAAATTTCATCCGGACGCTCATATCAGGTCTCCGTCGATGCCCATTTTGGCTCTTCGGACCATTGTCTGATCCGGGGTATAGAGTCACTCTCACTCTAACCGTGGTTGCTTTCTTCAGCTTGCTGCCGCGTTTGGCACTATAGGTAAGCCAATTAGTACAGGATTCGGTCTTTTTTTACATCCCATCCTTAGGGGCGTGTTTGCTTCTCGCCAGATGATCCTACACGCTCTTAAAAAGAAGTATAATTTCGGCTCTAATTCCTTCAATAGAGTCACTGCCAAGGTAAAATCAGAGCATATTAGCAGAATTGGTAAACAATTAGCTCAGTCAGAAGGTCTCTTGCAAAGGCGAAAACTGATCTTTTAGGGTCTCTTTTTGCGTCCGAGTCGGCTTTTGATTAAGGGGGAATACACCGCCAACCATCACACGGTGTGGGTTCTCCATACCGGATGTACGGTTTAAACAGCGCTCTGTGCGCAAATCACTCCTCCTTCATGGACGTCAACAAGTAGAGTGGGTCTGATGGGGCCTCCAATTGTGTTGAAGACGTATACTCCCAAGTTGGCACCGGTCTTAATGCATCTTTTCCGATACTCCTACTCCCTGGTAGTAACTAGAGGATCACCAGCTGATTAATGACCGCCAGTACGGTTTCCGTCAAGGTTACTCAGCTAGTGATATTCTGACTAAGCTGACTCTTAGACGGGCGGAGGTAGTAGAGTCCAAGAGAAAAGCCCTCGTTAGTTTGGACATTGCGAATGCCTTCGATGGGGTTTGCCACAAAGCGCTTCTTTCGAAGCTCCCTTTCTATGGCTGTCTCGAGAAATTGTGCAATTGGATCACCAGTTTTATTACAGATCGGAGCATAAAGGACGTAGTAGACGGTGCATGCTCCGACCTATGACCTACGCCGTTTTTTTTGCATATCAATGATACAGCACACATATTACTAGCATAAATAGCAGCTCAATGTTGCTATGTTTTCTATGGTGAGTGTAGAGAACCGGAACCCTGTTCACTCGAAACGAGGCATTCCACCTTAGTTCTCAGGGGTGACAACAGATCTGCAATTTGATTTTGGAACGAAGTTCCTTATCGGACGGTACGGGCTTGGCGGATGGGAGCTAGGTGACAAAAGGTGTAGGATTTTTTCGTTACTATTATTCTATTTCGTTACTAACTTCGCTCCGACCGAGTGCTCAACGACACTCACGCATTTTTTACTCGAGAAAAGATGTAGATGTCTATGGGTTAAAACATTTGTATACAGGCAGATTGTGTGCTCGCTTTTCATACTTATTCTATAAAAAAATTTGCAAACCAGTAACATTCATTGCAATGTGGATGGCTGCAATGGTGATGCTTTACAAACCGACCGTACCAATATTTCTCAACAAAACGTCGCCGAGTACTGGAAATTTTTTTTCTGAAATCCATTCTTTGTAGAACAGTGTTTTTAGATTGGGGACGACTAAATTTAGTCCAGTTGAATCCCCAGAACACACAAGTTGCTCGTCTACTGCTAAAAGGAACCACTTTGTCGTGTCTCCTCAAATTCAGAGTACTCCCCTTGTTACCTCCGCCAGAATCGGAATCCTGTTAGTTGACATATTGAATGACGTGCATTTTCCCGGCCACTTGGAAAAGAAGGCTAAATCGGCCTCTAAAAAGCTGGGCGAGCGAAACAGGATACACGAGGCATACCAGTTGCAACTTTAAAAGGAATAAATTCGGCCTCACATGGAATACAGTTCTCAACTCTGGGCCGGGGCTCCCCAGTGCCAGCGCTTTCCACTTGCCACCATACACATTATCTGGATGCTTGGCAGTCCACTACTGTGCGATTTTCTAGTTTTCTTCCTCACATGACTTCTTTGTGGAATTGTTTACCACCGACGATTTTTCCAAACCGATTCGTATTAGGGACCTTCAGGAAACTACTGCTTTCTACAAGACCGGCAATGCAATTGGCAATCAAGGCAATTGCACGTGGCAATACGCCTGGTGTTGAAGTTGTTCATGGATTGCAGTCGACACTTACCATCAGGTAAGCCGAATGTTCGTTTGACCCCGCTTCTATAAAAAAAAAAAATTATCATACAACCGAAACTTATTAACTTCTCTGCCTACTATTTATCCACCACAACGGTCGTTTCCCACACTGCATATCGCAATCTTTCAAAATAATGAAAAGAGCTTCGATTGGAATCTCTGTCATCCACTGTACTTACCAAGTCTTGCTCTTTTGAAAAACATTTTATTTTATTTTATTTATGGCTTAATTTAACCTTTTAAAGGGTAATTGGCGAGCTATAAAAAGCTAATAATTTCCTCATGCACAGATCCCATTTTGTATTCAAAAACAAAGATTCTACTGCTTGCTTTAACTTACATATAATAAAACCAAAAGAAACGTAGATCTTTCTATTATGTTTGTACCTACTTAACATTAACATTCAACTTGTATAAAGCGAAACATTATTTATGGGGAAATAAGTTGCGGTGAAAGGGTTGTAAGAAGTGTTTTTCCAAATGCAAGGTCACCGAATCAGATGCACTCCGCAAGGCTCTGGCGACCAATAAACGGTGGTAAACTTCGTTCGTAAACACCAAATGCTATAGAGGCTGGTGACTAGAGGGCATTATGACTGCAAGTGTTTTGGCTCTACACTCAACATCAACTCCTTCTTATTGCCTGTTCAATGTGGTCAAAGTTTTGAAGTTAGCAATTATTACATTTTTGAAAAGCCCTGATTAAAACAGTTAAGGTTAAGCTAAAAGGTTGATCATGTTCAATGAAAGTAGGCTGTTACATGTTGATGAGCAAGGCTTAAACTAAAAAAAAATGTTTTTCATTTATCATAGAAATATTTTAAAATATTTGGTGAAGCGTTGCGTCAAATAAATACTGATTCAGTCACATTATTATGTCTCACTTACATTATATTTAATAGTACTCATATTATATGATATCATTATTTCATATCAGAATTTAATAGAAATTTTTTGAAATTTTTTTTAGTTTTTATGAAAAAGTTGAAGATATATATGGCGGAGCCATATTTTGTCAGTTTTTATTCAGTGGATGGATACTTTGTACTACTGCATACAGATTAGTCGGGGTAAGTTTTTTTAAGATAAAAGTAAAATAGTATATTACTTGTGGGAAAAAATTCCACCCATTTCCCCAATCCCTGTTAATAAGTACGAAAAAAATGTAACGCAATAATAGATAAAACAATATTGCGTTATAATATTCTAGACGACGCAAGCTGTAAATAACTCGTGCGTAATCCTAGCTTATTCCTAATCAAGTCGTACAGCGGTTAACATGTCGTGTAACAAGGGTCATAACCGACACTGTATACTTTGAGTTTACTTTACGAGTTTGATAAGGATAAAGGTCAAAATAAAACTCAAGCTTGTCGAAATATTTCAAAAGTGCTCGGTGAGGATAATTTACATAGCACATGCCGCCGTTAGTTCCACAAATTCAGCAATATAGATAAAAACTACGAAGATTTACCGCAATCTGGAGGGCCTTTAAAGTTTTCTGAAGGGGATATTGACTACGCTATATTTCATCCACTATACAATAATGATCAGCAAAAAACCATTGAAGAAATGTCAGAAGTTTTCTGTACGCATAATCATAACTATGGTAGAGAAAGGGACACCTGCACTTAGCTTAATAAATGTATGGAAAAATGGGTACCACATAAATTATTGAAACATAGTCGAATATTTCTTTTTATGTGATAAGAAGACATGCAAAAAATGTGTAATTATAAAAAATAATAAAGAAGGAGGCATATTTACTTTATGTTAGATATACTAACTTAATTATTAGAATTTCCGATGTTACAATGTTCGTCATATTTTTAAGCAAAAGTATTCAATACTGGTTTTTTAAGATTCTTACTGGTATCATTTCAAAAATTAAGGTAGATAGCTAATTATTCTCCTAAAATGCCGCCCCAAAAACCCGTCCGCTGTGGACATAGCCTCCCTGATCCCCCTCTATGTCACTAAAAAGGCTTACGAACTGATAAGAAATGAAAAAATAACTATGTAATTATAAATTTTGTTTTCTATAAATTCTAATCATTAAGTACATGCGTACTATACATTTGATTTAAATACGATTACATACCTATACATCCACCAAGTTGGACTGATGTCAGTGTATCTTTCAGCTCAGGAGATTGGGCTATATGTTTTATATTATTATTTTTGGATTAATCTATTCGAAGTAGAGACACATTGAAATGGAAATTAATTGAATAATATTTATTTAATAAAATGAAGTAGTCCATTTTGCTTTAATGGTTAGCAAACTACACTATATAAATGAGAAATTAAATTTTTACAAAAATATAAAACATAGCGTGCTAGAGTCAAACTGCAGCTATATTATGGTTGTAGCACAAATGGGTTGACTGGACGGGGGTAGGGCTACGCTCTCAAAGAATACCAGCGTAAAGTAGCAGCTTAATGCTGCTGTGTTTTGTATGGTGAGTGTAGAGAACCGGGTACCTTTTTTAATAGAAACGGGGCATTCCATCTAAGTCCTCAGGGGTGACGACGACTATCACCATCTTCGTTCGTTTCAAAACAGCTTGACTTAGAAAAACTTCGATTTTGAACATGAACTAACAACAACAAAAGAGTTTTTTGATTCTAAATCATTCATTCATCATTCATTACAATTTGAGTTAAAAATATGAATGGGAAAATTACGTTAATTAATAAAGGCGTTTCTTTTGATATATTTTATAATTTTAATACACACAAAACGGGTAGAACTTTTAATAAACACCTAACAAATATTGTATATATTATTTTCTCAGGCAAGAGCTATCTAATTTTTATTCATTTTTAGATTGAAATGCTTTCCATAGAATTCCTTTCAATGGTTTTATATCTATCTTGCATGTTGGTAGAACTTTTCCTTTTTTGTTTCTATGGCAGCGAAGTAACGCACGCGGTAAGTAAATATAAGTAATTTAATAAATATTATTGTTATTATATAAGGTTTAGTCATATTAATTGAATCTAACGTAACATTGATGAGACAGAATATTCACTACCTCATATAGTCCCGTGCAGCTTTCTAATAACAACTCAAAATTATAAAAAACCGCTGTTGCCAACCCGACTGCCAAGCGCAGCAACTGTATCAAAATTTGTTCAGCAGTAGACTCTCATAGGTAATGAATTGACGAATGGATTAATCAAACGTGCGTGTCATAAGAGGTGACTATGGAAAATGACAGAAAAAAATAATTTCTTCCCATAGGATAGCAAAATAACATTTTCGTTTACCCCAAACATCGTCGCTCTGGGAGCTATGGAGAGTGCTATGCTCAATGTTTATCTCCATGATAGACTTAAAAACCAGGATATCCGCAGAAGAACCAGAGTAATCGACATAGCCCAACGGATTAGTAAGCTGAAGTGGCAACGGGCCAGCCATATAGCTCGGAGAACAACAACCGATGGGGAAGAAAGGTTCACGAGTGGCATCCTCGTACCGGCAAGCGAAGTGTATTGCGTCTCCCCACTAGATCATGATTTTATTGCAAACATAAAGCCTCGTTTATCAGCCAGCATGGTACACTAGGTACAGGTGAGACTAGTAATTGGATAAAAAGTTCCCTAGAGTTCGTGCGTAACATAATTCTCTTCCTATTCTGCATATACAGTAAAAATATTGTTTTTCTAATGACAATTTCAATAAACACATGATCCTGCTTTGCGTCGCGTAGTCTGGTAATAAGGAATATCGCAGTTTTCAATTTAGATGAAAAAAATAATTTTGTCGAGATTAAAATGATCGTTTTATAAATTTACAGAGTGAGAAACTAATGGAATCAGCATATTTTATGAACTGGTTAGAGACACCCATACAACATCGTAAAAATCTAATTTTGTTTATGGAGAGATTAAAGAAGCCTATACTGCCCAAGGCAGCAATAATTGTACCACTTTCTAACACCACTTTTATTTCGGTATGATAATCAAAGGTTTATATAATCTACATTTTGTTTTAATTAAATATTTAAATCTGTTTCACGAAAGAAGTCCCGCGGAAAATATACGAACTTAATTGTCAATTATGAAGCTTTAAGAATTTTTTAGATGATTATTTAGTTTATTATTATTAAATTTAAATGTAAATTATGGAATTTTACAGCAAATGGTAAATTTCATGAAGACTGTGGCGCCGCAGCTAAGACACTTCTTTCTCGAAAAAGGCTATATTTTGATGGAAAAAGTTTGAACTAAAAAAAATATATTTTTCTAGTTTAAACTATTAAGCATTCATCAACATAATATGAAACATACACTGAAATAAAATTTAAGATTCATTTTAAGATTAGAATAAAAATAATCATTGTGGCTAGTTTGTATGATCCGTTGCGCCAGCTGTAACTAATATGAACTATATGTAAAGCCTGAAAATAATCAACAATTTTTATTTTTCAGATAGTTCGAAGCTCGTATACGTTTTATGCATTTTTGAAAAACACACAATAAGACACAAAACACTTGGTCTCCACGGTTAACATTTCACGAAATTATTTGTAATATATAGCAGCTGCATACTCACTTTAAAATGCTTTTTGGTTTGATGAATATATTATTATACAAGATATTTTGTTGTTTGCTTAAAAAATTTAAACATAATTTACAAAAATAATGAACCTAAATATTACAAACAAATAAGGCCATTCGGACAACAAGTTTGGACTTATAGAAATCTTATAGACACAAAGAACATTGTGATTGAAGAGTGACAGTTAGTACTTTCGCTTTTGTTGTGGTAAGTGATTTATTTGTACCTATATCGTGAAGACCCATTCTGGATAGAAACATTCAGTTAGTCAGCCAATCAGACTAACTAACGAACCAATCATCACGTGGCCTCACAAACAAATTAACGGACGGACCCACAAACGAACCAAGAAAGGAATTGGGCAAATACACACTTGTATTTCGTATTACAAGTAAGCATCAATGACCCATAGATTTTCTGCTGTAAAACCTTACAGTAACTTATTTTTACAGCTTATTGACAGGATTATCTTCTAAGCCAATAGTTGTGTAAAGTTCATCATTCCGATATACTTCAAATATGTGACTAAATATTTGTGCGGCTGCAAACTGTTTCCAAAAACCACAATACGTATAAAGTTGAGACATATCGATGTAGGAAGTGTAGAAGAGTGGTCTGGAGTAATAGTGTTCTATGGGCATGGGCTATATACCATAATCCACAATTTGCTCCCGAATTTCTCTAGCCAACAATTGTTTTCCATAGAACAGAGAGATGGCAAGTTAAAATAAGCAAGTTCCATCACCAACAGTTATTATTACAGTATGAGGCGCCATATTGCCATTAATATTTCAATATTGAATATATTTGAATACGAGAGGGAGTCACAAGCAACGTTGCCTACAGTTTGACGCGGGTTTCCATATAAACTTTCTTCAATAAGTAGTTGTTAGCATCTGACAAATGTAATATTGGTCATTACTGTAAACCAGCATTATGGTGTCATCAAAACTCACGCTGAGTGAAGTCCTTTTCAGTCAAGTTTCGCCATGTCAGTCCGTCCTCGCTCTGCGTTTTTACTCAGAGATCCTACGTACTACAAAGCTGTAATTTGGCATAATTATATATATTAATGCCTAGAAAGTTGTGAAATAATCAAAAAGGTCGAAAGTTCGAAGTAACGAACAACTAAGGAACTCTCCATTGTGCGTGGGCCGACACGCACTTGCCGGTTTTTATTTAACTACTAGCGATCCGCCCTGGCTTTGCATAGGTGATTTCTGGATCTCGACAGCAGATACGTCTACCGGATCCAATTGTGAATCTAAACCATCCAGGAACCCACTCAAATACATACAAAAAAATTCAACAGAAGTGGTCTAGCCAGATTTTATTCATTCTAGCCAGAGCCAGAGTATTCGAGCCAGATTCATTTTTATATAAGGAGATTATAAGCCAGTCCTAGACTATTATTCAACCTAATGGTAAGTGGTGATGCAGTCAAAGATAGTAAAGCACACTTACTTAGCTTAACAAAAGCCTATTCACCAGACACCCACATTAATATCGGATAGAAAGACAGATGCTGGAAATTATTGAAATTATTCCATTTCTTTGCAGAACGCATTACGAATGTATTTAAGCATGCCTTACGCACAAAGGCAAATTTAATTTAATTTACGCATTTTATAGTTATTAATTTATTGTTGTATTTGTCAATGGCCTAAGCCAAAATAAAGGCGACGGCTCCGTGGTGGCTTAACAATTACTAACGGTTCTGTGGGCCGCGCGTTCGATTCCTGTACTTAACAAATATTTGTTTGGTCTATAAGTACTTTTTCCGGGTCTGGATGTTTGTACTTGTGCGTTATATGCGCTATTATAGCACAACTCGAAGAAAATGGTCTTAGGTTAATGACTAGTTGGCTTGAAGATAATTTACTAATTCTTAATGTTTCAAAGAGCAAATACCTATGTTTGGGTAAGACTTATGCTTCTCTTTCAACTAGAAACTTTAAAATTACTATACACAGGTATCCTTGCAATCGCATTATAAAATTTACACTATTATATTAATGTAGTATGTAGTAATTTAGCTAAAACAGATCTGATCCGATATCTTGGTATATTCATTGACAACAAATTAACTTTGGAGGCCCATACTGATGCAGTGGCTAATAAACTAAGAAAACTCATTTATATATTTAAAAGTTTACGGACAGTGACCGATTGAAAACTAATTATTATGAGAGATGTCTGAAAAGTTATCTTTCGTCTACCATTTCGCCAATCAACAGTGTCTGTATACGACAGAGCGAAAGTGTTATCTGTCCGCAAAACATTTATTTTTCAATCGTGTCACTGTCCCTAAACCAAAACTCAGCAATAAGAGGATGGAACGATGTCCTGTTCCAAGACCAAATAGTGCTGTGTTTAGAAGACATTTTGACTTTTTGGCACCTAGGCTATACAACAAAATAGATGTCATAACATAAGATCACTTCGAAGTGAAAAATAAAATTACAGAATGGTTAAAAGAATTTGTTTATGAAGGTACGGAGAGCCTCCTTTCTTTGTATGTATAAAAAACACCCGCTAATAAACACTCGAACACACTCACACACACACACACACACACACACACACACACACACACACACACACACACAAACACACACACAAACACACACACACACACACACACACACACACACACACAAACACACACACACACACACACACACTCACGCACGCACGCACGCACGCACGCACGCACGCATGCACGCACGCATTTTTTATTATACTTTTTTTTTAAATATTCATAAGTTACGTTTTAAGAAATATTTGTAAGCATAAACATAATTAACTATAAATCGATAAAAAATTACTTTATTTTAATAACAGGGAAGGAAAAACTAGGCCCTGAAATACAGGTATAATATCCTAGTTTAGGGGCTGTTGACCTTTGTAAATATTTGTGAATAATTAAATGTTTATCAAAAAAGATTATTATTATTTAAGTATGTAAACTGCCTCCACGATAGAGGAGATAATCCTAGTGTAGAGTAAAGTTTTGAGATGAAATAGAGAAAGGACAATGAAGATGCTATCAACTATCTTAGTAAATATTTAATTTCCCAAAGCACAATAGCCGTCCAAAAAAATCCAGAGCCGGCGTACCCATTTCACACTTTAAATATAAACAGAATCAGAAACTTTTTTATACAATATAGATTATAAATAATACTTATTGAAAGTCACTCTTTTGTTTAATTACCACTGGTTCGAAAATAACCTCTGTCCTGGGAAGAACCAGCAAGAAACCCAGGGGGACTTTTTTTTTTTAAATAACAGCTTACAATCATTTATGTTACACAATTAACAACATAAAAAATTAGAAATAGCTTGGTAGCGATCACCTCATTTCCAGGGGTTATTATCATCATAAATTCCTTAATGTTATAATAATCCTTTTTATACGTACTTAGTTTAATAAAGTTTTTGAACTTTGAACAGGTCAAACTTTGTTTATTTTCTGGAATTTTGTTGTAAAAGCGTATACATCGCCCCAAGAATGAATTACTGACTCGATGGAGTCGAGTAACTGGTACTACTAGCTTGTGTCTATTCCTAGTATTTACAGAATGAATATCACTTTATTTGTAGAACTACTTTTATATTTGTGTACGTACATTACATTTTCATAAATGTATTGTGAGGCCAAAGTTAATATATTAATTTCCTTAAATTTTTGTAAGCGGTTAGCCACCGTAGATTCTATATCACCTGAGGATGCCTCGTGTAGAGGCGAAACAGGTGTCGTATTGTTGTCAGTGGTGTGTCTTTCCTAGTGTAGTGGTGTTGGGAGTAGTGGTGCTGGGATTCGTGGTGACGGGGATAGTGCACCCAATTGAGGGAGGGTGGGAGGTGCTCTTCAAACTAGGTAAGACACATCATTTTATTTTATCTAGCGGGTGTACGCAAAGTAATTTTTTGTCAAATTTAACATATTTAATCATTTCAACACCGGCATCAGTTGTGGAGCGACTCCTTGTAAAACTAAATTCATTTTTATGAAGTGAATTATTTATATTAAAGAAATTTAAAATTTGATCAAGAATATTTTTTTTTTCAAAAATATTACTAAGTATTGGTAGTACAGAAATAAGTCTAAAATTGGCGGAGTCTAATGTACTACCAGATTTAAATAAAGGTATTACTTTACTATGCTTAATCAAATCAGGACATACACCAGATTCGAAACTTCAACACTACGGTGTAAGAAGTGATGCTCTTAGATTAATTATTTCATATTTAAGTAAGAGAACGCAAAAAGTTGTCATTAGCAATATGAGCTGTTCCGGATCGATGGTACAAATGGGCGTGCCTCAAGGCTCAATTCTCGGCCCCTTTCTGTTTCTTGTATACATTAATGACTTAGTATTATTATTGATATAGTATTATTTGCAGATGACACTTCTTTAAATTAAGTCGACAATTACTAAAATATGACGAAGTAAATAATGCTATATCTAAATTAGTAAATTGGTTCAATGTTAATAATTTGCATTTAAATGGCACTAAAACGAAATGTATGAAATTCATGACTCCAAATGTCAAACAATTAAATACTAATGTAATTTTAAATGGGGAGAAACTGAGTCTTGTAGATACCACCATTTTTCTTGGAATCACATTAGACGCGAAGCTTCAATGGAGCCCCCATATATCAAAACTAGCAAGCAGACTTAGTTCTGCAGTATATGCTGTAAAAAAGATTAGAAGTCTAACCAGTGTTGAAACAGCTAGACTAGTTTACTTTAGCTATTTCCATAGCATAATGTCGTATGGTATTTTGCTATGGGGACACGCAGCTGACACTGAAATTATATTTGTTTATAGAAGAGGGCCATAAGAGCAATTTATGATTTAAAGCCTAAAGAGTCACTGCGACAAAAATTTAAGGAAATTAATATATTAA